AAAATAAAATCAAGAATCATAAGATACAACACTTAGTGTTACTCAGGGTTACTGATAAGCTATCAAATCATATTTGGAAACAAATAAAAACAATATAAATTGAAAGATACAAGCAACATGGTTATAGTCATAAGTATGGAGAGATAGATACTAGGAAGGAAGAGAAGAATAATAGTAATACATTCTTAGCAAATTATTGACAGTGTTGTGGGAATTAGTTGTTAAGCAGAGTGATATCATTTGGGGGAAAAAGTTTAGTAACCTTGACTATCATTAAGTGTTATATCTTTTTATTCTTGATGGGTGTATTTAATTCTCTTATGTACCAAAGACAAATTCCTTGTATGTTCAATCACACTTGGCCAATAAAGAATTATATTCTATATTGTGACAGTCGTTAAGTGAAATGACCTCAATTAACAACCCCATTCCTTGCTCTCCCCGATGCAAACTTTAAATGAATGGGAGAGTTTTTCAACAGAGCACAGGGTGCTTCAGGGGGAACCCCTCAAGAGGCCTACACAGGAACAGGTCTGCTTGCCTCAAGCCTCCCAAGGCTATTTCCACCCCTTGAGGCAGCCTGTGTCTCACTTCTTACAGTGTTACCTGTGGTCCTTCAGCTTTCTTCCAATCCAGCAATCAAGGGTAGATTACAATATACAACATTTGCAAACTCCAGCCTGGAAGGAGAGATCAGGGCAGATGGAGTTTGCAAATTCGGGCATAGAAAGGAAGATCCAACCCAATGACTTGCAGGATTCAAGCCTGCTGCAGAGCCCAGCATACCAAATTTACCTTTTTGTTTTTTCAGTTTCTGAGGCACCTGGCCCTGTAAGATCAGTTCCTTACAGAGCCAGTCTCATGGCAAACTCCTTCTATTTTGGAACAGGTTGTATTCTTTTAACAAAAAGGTTTTTTTAAGGAGCCTCCATTTTTTAAGCTCCATAAACTGCAGAACCTTCATAAAAAATGGAACCATTTTTAAAAAATGGCGGCTCCTTGGGGAAAAAGGCTCTATAGCAGGGTGTTCAAACTGGCGGCCCATGGGCCAGATGCAACATGTGCAGGGCATGCCCACCTTAGCTCCACGAAGGGGGGAAATGTCATGAAATGTCACGTGATGGCAATGTGACGCTGCAAGTTTGACACCCATGCTCTATAGTATCAGGAATAGAATGTGTTGCAAAATAGGAGGAGTTGAACATGAGGTTAAGAAACTGATCCTGCAGGGCTAGGTCTTTCACTCAGAATATGAAGAAATAAATCATTAAGTTAGTTATTGCTGAATCCAGGAGCATGCTTGAGTCCTGCAAGGCCTTGGGTGGAATCTATGTCATTTAGAACTGTTACATTTTGAATCATACTCCAAATTTTCAAGAAGTAATAAATCAAGGAAGTTTCTTTTAATTACCTTCACTTAAAGTTTTGTTTCGCTGTTTTGGTCCTTTTGTTGCATGCTGCTTCGATAATCTTGCAGAATTTTCATTCTGAAAAAATTACATAAAAGCAAGTACTGTATGCGCGCGCACACATAGTATTCATGTAGTTTAGATTTTTTTTCCCATTTTCAGAGAGCAAAAAAACAATGTGGTCATTCTAGCATAGGAAAATAAGAGATATGTTTTGCTTTACCAACTGAGGATTGTCTCCGTGCCAGGAATTCCTGCTGCAATTAGCAGCACAAAGCAAACCTCCCATCCTCAGAACAAAANTGTATTCCCCCTTCCCGGTTTTGTGTGAGCCGCCCTGAGTCCCCTCAGGGAAAAGGGCGGCCTACAAATACTAATAAAACTCTAAAAACTCTAAACTCTGTATAGTATAGATTACTGGTAGACTTTTTAAAATTTTAATTACAATAAAACATATATCTAAATTTCTCAATACTGAAATGAAAATATCATAAAGGCTTATTACCTGTATCACCGAATGATTCGCCTGCAAAATAAACATATTATTTTTCAGACTAAGTAGATCAAATAACTTGTTTGTTGTACACAAAACTGAGAACAGAGGATTCAAGTGTACATGAACAGACCTTCCCACCAATATCAAGATACTGTATCTTGATCATGGGGAAAATAGCATAGCTTTTAAACTATTCAGACAGCATATCACTTAGGTTGAAAAGTGTTGAAAGCAGTTTAAAAAATCCAACGAAGAATTATGTAGTAGATTCAGATTAGGACTGAATTCAGTAGTATGTTTCATAATTTTAAGAGCAATTTCCACTCAAGGTACCGCAGTATTATGAAAAAGTATGTTAGCACTATCATGAAATAGTCAGTCATTATATTTAAGCATATCAATAGAAACAAAAGATAAAGAAATGGCTAATGTACAAAACAAAGAAAAAAGGAGAAATAAAAAGTCAGTGCATCTATCTATGGAGATTCTCAATCATCCATGTCTTGGATGTCCCAAAGGTGCTTTTTCAGTAGGCAACTGGACTTTCTGGCTTTTCTTTGAAGATGTTTTGCTTGTCATCCAAGAATTTTCTTCATCTCTGAGCAAGAAGTGAAACGACTTCAAAGAAAAACCAGAAAGTTCAGTTGCTTCTTGAAAAAGCACCTTTGGGACAACCATTACAGTGCATCTGTAATTTTTCATTTCTAATGTTTTAAATGCCTGTATTCCATATAATTGGAATACTATAAAAAGTTATTATGCATGACGTTAGTGTTTATTTATTTATTAAATTTATATGCCACCCATTTCACTGTGCATTTCAAGCACTCTGTGTGGTTTATAAACATCACAGAAACAAGAATACAAGAATATGACCATAATGGGCAGGCTCTATTATGATTGCATACCTGTAAAGACTGTAACAGCCACTAAGTAGAACTGATAAGGAAAAGATTAATAAAGTGAATCCATGAACATCAATTAGCAGGCAGAAGACATGATCAAAATTCCTTAATTTCACAACATATGGATAGATCATTTCAACTGGAAAACTGTTAGTATCCATAGACAAAGCTAAATCCAAAATGCTAGATAATTCCTGGAAGCTTGGCACTCAGGCAAATCAGTCACTAACAGAGTTTAACACCAGGATTAATATCAGTCAAATAATCAAGCAATATGCTATACCCCAATCAAGGAATTAACAACTCAGACAAACAATCAAGCAGTAAACAATAGTCTAATCAAGGAACTACCTGGGAGAAAACAATACACCTACCAAGTCTGTCAGAGCAACTGCAGATAGTCCTTGAAATATGACTGTAATGGATTCTGCCCATTATGATCACATGATAGTCAAGATTACTAATAAGCTATCAAATCATATTTGGAAACAAATAAAAACAATATAAATTGAAAGATACAAGCAACATGGTTATAGTCATAAGTATGGAGAGATAGATACTAGGAAG